ACTGCGTGGGCAGTGGGCAGAGAAAGAAGCTGAACTTTGAGCAAGTCCTGCAATCTGCAATGTTGATTCAGACATCAACCTCCCCACCTTCCCTCTAAACCAATTAGTTCGTGTTCCGTCAAAACTCCAGGCTCTTGGAAGCTCCCCCGAACCCGCATGGAAGCAAGGTCATAGATGTGGTCATTCCGGTACCGGTACTGGAGCACTAGGTTGTAAATAGTGCCTAAACAAATCTTGGTCCTTTACTAAACCTAGCTATTAGATAACATACATTATTTGCTAAAAGTAGGTCCTATTAAAATACCATACGGTAGAGGCGCAGTAGCTCGGCGCCTGTACAACGCAGTATTATGATGTCAAGATCTACACCTATGCATACATGTAATGCTCCTACTGTACCGGTAACCGATTACCGGTTACCGATAGTGCGGGGATCTGCTGGTGTTTTGGTCTAACACCCAATTCGTCTCTGCACTGACTACTTCTCTAACCAACCGTTGTCCTGGAGTGGATCCATTCTAGCTAGCTACTACCGGTATAGTACAGTAGTTGGCAATCATGGGCTTTGGAGATGGCTCTTTCAAAATTACGTACTCCATATTATATAGAGTTTGTCAATGTCGCCCTTGGCTTGCAAGTGACGGTACCGGTACGGTACAGACAATGCCTGTGGAGTTGTAACTGATGCGGCGGTCCTCTCTAGCTAGAGCAGCTAGCCAGATAAATGGCTGGAATAATATCTTCTAATCAAAGGAGGCGTCACAGTTTCTGAAGGTTACAGCAAGTAAGCAGTAACTGCCCTGTGCTACCCCGGTAAGACTACTAGTATTAGACTAGTCTATTTATTTTGTCATCTTCTGCTAAGAGTAGACAAGAAGCCAGATTCGAGGGCTGGTTTCGAGGGTATACGAGCAGGGGCTATAAGTCATTTGTAAATGAAACCTGGCTCAAAAAGATCCTTTGAGGTCGAGTGGAGTCGTCGAGTCGTCGAGTCTTTACAAAAATCGAGGATTGATCCACCCACAGAGTGTGTTGGGTCTTCATTGTTGGATGAGCTGTTGGATGTATGCCACCCTATTCCGTATTCACCAGAGGCAAGAACAGCAGTGGGGGAAGAAATAGGGGGACATAGATTGCAAAGAAGCAGAAAACCTTGGTCCGCTGCGGCCGTGGTGCTTGTTCAAAGTTGGCGAGTTAAATAATACTATGGCAGGAAGATTAGAATTGCCAGTTGCATCAAAGTGGATTAAGCTAGGCTGCTGGCTGGTGTCTAGTCTGGCTGCCGGCGGTTACCTGTACAGGTAGCACTGCTTGCTACCGTACGGTACGGAACCAAGTCTAGCTAGATCCAGCTAGAGAGCTGCTGGTGGAGCTGTTCTGGTAGCGGTTCTGGTACTAGCTAGCCACAACATGTAGGTATTTTGTTGTGCATTCAGTGGTTGGGTGCAGTGTCTTCGTGTCTTCAGAAGCTTGATCCCAGGGCTAAAAGTCATTATTATAGAGGAGCATACCTGGTACCGGTACGGATTACGCACCAGTCCCGTGCGTACCGCAAACACAGCTACACCATGCGCAACCATGCATGCATGACTGCCACAATCGTGAAGGTCGATCTTGACGACTGGGTCACTCGAAGAAAAGAATTGCTTCAGCCTACAACCAAAGAGGCACCAGAAGATAGGCAACTGCTGGAGCAGGAAGGCACAACATCTACATGTACCAGCATCATGGTGAACCTGGAGATGAGGGGATTCCCTTGGATGATCTCCAACAGATCATTCATGATCGAGATCCCCGCAGAAGACAGGAGCTCGAAGATCAAAAACAAAAGTTTACCGCTTCTTCCAGAGCAGTCAATGCACGCCAACAGGACGATGAATTTTTGATGGGCATGGTGGCCCTGCGAAGTCATGACAGCCCTGTAACAACTTATGAAATAGAAAAGGGTAATATTTCCAAAACTACAAGCTCCCCACAAGCACTGGTAGATGAGAATCGCACCAACCGGCCCGAGGTCCTTTACGACGAGAGAGGTTGTGTCATCAAGACTCCGACTACCATTTCTGCCAATTCGCTATTACCGGGTGCCTATCCAGGATTGCCCGGTGCCGTGGATAACCAACATTTTTCACGCCAAGATGGTTGTATTGAGGATGAAAACCAAGCAAACCACGAGGACGGAAGCAACGTGCTGGAAGGTACTTTGGAAGCTACATCAAAGAGCTCCTGTGCATCAAACAAGCTTGTGATTGGGGTTATCGTTATCGTTGTCATTGCATTGGCAATCGCCATCCCAACAGCGCTCCTAACGGGTGGCAGCCCTTCTGAAAAAATGACACAATCCGATGCCGATCTCTACCTGGTACCAAATATAACAAATGACACCATCCAGGCAATACAGGATCCACAATCGCCTCAACATTTTGCCTATGAGTAGATTGAAGACGATCCAAACTGGAACTCGTTTCCAGACTGGCGAAAATCACAACGATTTGGCCTAGCATGCCTCTACTTTGCCTGCCTGTAGAAAGTGGAGCCCGCTTATGATGTTGTGCTCACCTATTTACAAGAGGAATGTATGATGCCAATCACAACGATATTTCGAGGCCTGTGCGACCACAGAGGCCGGTTT